CCTACCGGCTTGATTTCCACTCGAGCAGGTAAATCCCGTGTCTCCTGCAGGTTGAAGTCGTAGGAGTCATCTTTACAGATGGTTCGGAGCTGGGATCCGTTTCTAGAGGGGGGACAGGGAGGAGGGAGGAAGGGATTCAAGGAGGAGGGGTCTGGTAATAAAGATGGGGAGGGCGGGTCATTCTGGGGGGCGCTGGTCCTGGAACACAGACGCTCCTCCACAGCCCCGCCCGTCTGTCACCTGCGCTCCGGGACGAGCTCCTCCGGCTCGCCTCGGAGGGGAGCCTTACGCAGCAGAACCACTAGCTAGTCCTCACGCGCATGCGCACATACAGAAGGAAGCTTCCAGTCACGTGGGGCCCTTACCTGTACTGCACGGCCTGCAGGGACCGTCCTGCCAGGTGGGTGTGCAGCAGGTAGCCGTACACCTGAATGTCCGGCACCGGGGCCCCGTTCATCTGTGACAGGGAGGGAGCACACCAGGTTTGCTAAGTGCACACCTGCTCGGGCAGGTGTGGCCCTGCTCCCAGGTTTTCCTCCCTGAGTTTTGGCTGCCTCCCTCTGAGGGCTCTGACCCTCACTCCCTGATTCTTCCTGCCCCTCCTGGACCCTCCAAGTCCCCAGGCGCCAGGCTGTGGTTCTCTGTGCCCAGGACTCGGGCAGCTGGGCCAGACTAGCTCTGTGGCGCTTCCGGGGCCTCCTGCCCACCTCCTCGAACTTCTGGGTCTTGCACAGCCCGTAGGACAGGAAGGACTGGGCGCCCGGGGGGATGAAGTGGATGGGGAAGGTGAAGAAGCCCAGCTGCAGGACGCCCATGTCGTATCTGCGCAGCCGCGGGCTGTAGTACACGCGGATCCCGGAGGAGTCATGGATGCCTGGCACAGAAAGGAGCCATCGCAGGAGAGGCCGGTCGGCTGTCGGGAGCGACCCCGCGCGCCTCCGCCCCGACACACGGGGATCACCAGCCACCAGCACCCTGCCACGAACCAGCCCCTCACCAGGGAGGTTGTGGAAGTTGCTGTAATGAATCTCCAGCCGGATCCACTGAGGGTCCAGGGGGGTCCCGATAGAGATGCCCACGTCGTCCGGGAACTGGTAGCTCTGTTGGAGGAAGGAGCTGGGGCAGCGGGCTGACTGCGAGCCGGGCGCAGCGGGGCAGCCCGCCCTCCACCGCAACCGTCCCGATGGCCCCTGGCGGGCACCCCCAGCCACACACCCCTGCGCGTGACTCACGGTGCCGCCGACGGCCCAGCCCACGATGACCTGCGAGCAGAGCGAGAAGGCCGGGTCGGCCCCGTAGCAGTCGCTGATGCCCGTGGGGAGGGCGCTGGCGTTGCCGCAGGCGTACACCAGGATGTGGTGCACCATGGTCTC